GAATTCAGGATGGCTTCTATTTGTGGCAACACTGTAGACATTTCGTCATGCTGGAGCACTCTGTCGCCGATAGTGCGCTTGAAATGCCCTTTGAACGATTTCACCGCGGCTTCCCATAAGCCGCCGAAATTGGGAGATCTTGCCGGAATGAATCGAAACTCTATTCCTTCCTCTACTGCTCCGCGTGCAACAGAATCGTGGAATCCTTGATCCATGAATAACTGCCGTAATTCATCCAACTGACGCTTGGCTCCAACAAAGTTCAGGGCATTGTCGCACATGACTAGGGCTGGTCTTCCCCTGCGTGCCACAAATCGTTTGAAGGCAGCAAGAAAGGCTTCACTGGTCAAATCGCTCACCAGTTCAAGATGGACTGCCTTCGTTACAAGGCAGACGAAGATTGCGACAAAGTGTTTCCTAGGGAAGGATCTGCGGATTGGATAGCTAATCAGGAACGGTCCGCAGTAATCCACGCCTACGTTCAGGAATGGTGGCGCTGGAGATACACGTTCGGATGGAAGGTCAGCCATTAGCTGATCCAAAACCTTCGGTCTGTTACGGAAGCACTGGACGCATTCATGAATGACAGTGTTGGCTAGGCTTCTGATGCGTGTTACCCAGAATCGCTCCCGCACTGTGGACACAAGCAGCTGCATCCCAGAATGGAAGTTCTTGCGATGATAATAGTCTAGGACCAACTTGGCCAACGGATGACGGTGACACAGGATTATCGGATGCTTCCGACTTGCTGATACTGGTGCCTTTGCTAATCGACCTCCTACACGTAATACTCCATCGATGAAGATAGGGTTGAGCTTGTTCAACTTTGACGACTGGCTGATAGACTTTCCTTTCTCCAATGCAGCGAATTCCATCGGAAACGATTCTCGTTGTGCCAGTCGAACCAGGACTGCTAGTGCTTCTTCATGCTCAGGATACGACAGGAAAGCAGTACGCCTCTCATCTCTATGCTGTGTATTATGGACGAAACGGCGTATTCTTGCGATCAATCGGACCAAGATAAAGAGCGACGAACGAAGGCTGAATATTTCACTGACTGGTTCCGATGTTGCTGGCAGTGCAACGATCTTTCTTTCCTCCAGGAGTGCTTGATCAACTTCTTCTTCTGGAACATTCGACGGCCATATACTAGCATCTTGGCGAAGCCACAGAGGACCTTCGAACCACAGCTTTTCATACTGTAACTGGGCTGGAATCATTCCTCGAGAGATAATGTCGGCCGGATTGTCTGCACCGGCTACATGCTTCCAGGAACTTCCCTTTGTAATGTGCTGGATTTCAGACACTCGATTCGCCACGAACATCTGCCATCTCGATGGCAAGGATGACAACCAGTACATCACGATCGTAGAATCGGTCCAAAAGTGAGCTGTGTGGTGGATACCGGTACTGCTCACGAACTTCTCGTACAGATGACTGAGGAGTAGCGCGCCTGACAATTCCAGTCGTGGTGTAGTTTGTTCCCTTTTCTTCCGCTTGAGATCCTCTAGAGGTGCAACTTTGGATTTCGCTGTGATGAGACGAACTTCCACTGATCCGTTGAATGTGGTACTCCGGAGGTACAGACATGCTCCGTAGGCTTTCTTGGACGCATCGCAAAAGCCGTGAATTTGAATTGAAGCAAGGTCCGTGCAGAACGCCACCCACCGAGGAATCGAAAGCGAATCTAAAGCCGAGAGATTTCTCCTGTATTCGATCCAGAAGTTCTGCATTGCTTCTGGTAGCGATTCATCCCAGTCACTCTTCTGTCTCCATAAATCTTGCACGAACATCTTCGCAATGATGACGACTGGTCCCACCAGGCCAAGAGGATCGAATAATCGAGCCGTGTCCGCAAGTACAACTCGTTTGGTAATAACTGCATCTGCATTCCAGACGGGTGACCGAAATAGGAAGCAATCAGTGCTCGTATTCCACAGCAGACCTAATGTTTTGACAGGAGCGTTCGACATATCAAGGTCCAAGGCAGATTGATCATCTACGAGATGAGTTGGTAACTCAGCCAGAAGAGCACTGGAGTTGGAATTCCACTTTCTCAAGTTAAATCCACCCGAGGAGGTTAGCTCAACCATTTCCTTCACCAAACGGATAATGGCTTCGATGTCATCGGCTCCAGTCAACATGTCATCGACGTAAAAATCATTCTTCATCGCCTTCGCTGCAACGGGATACTTGTCGGACTCAAGCTCTGCTAGACGTTGCAAACACTTGGTAGCTAAGTAAGGTGCGCACGCTGTCCCGTATGTGACTGTAGTCAACTGGTAGATACGAATTGGCTCGTTCGGTGAGTTTCTCCACAAGATGCATTGAAGTCGTTGATCCAACAGGTACACCAGTATCATTCGGTACAACTTCTCGACGTCTGCAACAACTGCTATTCGATGGAGGCGGAAACGGAGCTGAATTGATAAAAGATCGTCTTGCACGACTGGACCGACCATTAGCGCATCGTTCAGGGAAACGCCCATGGAAGTTTTGCAAGACGCATCGAACACCACACGCAGTTTTGTGGTGGTGCTGTCCGGCTTAAATACAGCGTGGTGTGGGAGAAAGTATATCGGGAAATCTGAATCGTTGATGTCCACTTGCTTCATATGGCCTAACCGCTCGTACTCGTGAATAAAATCCTGGTACTGAGCTTTCAGATCTGGATTTGCTTCCAAGCGTCTTTCCAGGGCGAGAAAACGTTTAGTAGCGATTAGTTCAGATTCTCCAAGCTGCTGCATCACGAACTCCTTCTTCGGTAGGGACACTACAAATCTTCCACTGCTGTCCCGTGTTGTTGTTTCGTCGAAAACAGCTTCGCACGATGACTCTTCCACAGAATGGATGCTGCTGGATTTGCAGGATTCCAGCTCCCAAAATCGTGCTAACTGGTCTTGGATGTCCGCTAGTGTACATGAATATGACACTGCTTGAGGCGGATTTACTGGTTGATTTGGAATGGGACCAGACACGACCCAGCCAAAGACGGTGTTCTGCAGAGTTGGGCCGGTTTTCGATATCTTGTTGCGCCCATCGGTAAGGAGATCAAAGTAATACTCCGCTCCAATGATGATATCGATGGGTCCTGGATCACTGAACTGCGGGTCTGCCAACACGATGCTGCTAGGAAGAATCCATTGACCGGTGCTGACCTTTCGAACGGGAAGTGTTGCTGTCAACTCTGGTAGCACATAGAACGGCATGTTTTCGGTATACGACGAAATATCACCAGATCGGGGAGAGATGAATGCCTTGACCATCCTTCGCGATATGGATTTTGATCCTCCAATTCCTTGGACCGCCAAATAATCCGGGAATCCTTGAAGTTTTAACCTTTGACAGAAATTGGTGCTCATAAAGCAATATTGCGAACACGAATCTAGTAAAGCTCTGGCTAGTCGTGTCACTCCGTACTGATTTTTAACGCACACCACAGCAGTGGATAGCAGTACGTCTCGAGTACGGTTTTGGTTACTGATTGACAGTGAAATTGTGTTCTGACTAGTGCATGTCTGGTTTGTGGTGAACAGTGGTTTAGTGTTCTGCGAGAGTGTAATAGGGAGAGCGCTTGTGGAAGGTTGAGTGGTTTGGTTGGGTATAGACTGGCCTTGAGTGTGTGATTGTGTCTGGTGTTGCTGTTGGTTCGCTGATGAAGATTTCGCTTGCGACGAGACGGAGGATTTGACAGACTGATTTGAGTCATTGTGCAACAGGGAATGATGTTTCTGTTGGCAATGGTGGCAGGACCCCTTGACGCACGACTTCGACTGATGTCCTGCTGATAAGCAGTTGAGGCATAATTTGTTTCGTCGTGCCATGTCGTAGCGTTCGGGAACCTTCAGTTTCAGGAACTTGATGCAGCGGAATGCAGAATGGAATGCCTCTCCACAAAATGCGCACTTGTTCCACGATTGAACTGCAGAATTACTCACTCCAAGCTTGGGCCGTTTCTCCTGGACTGGGATGGACTTCACGGGAGCGACTGATTGTAGTACGGAACAGTGTCCGCGCAGAAACTGGATTAGGTTCGTGTATGTGGGAACCTCTTTCGAGTTGTGATGTGTCTCCCAGTGTCGAAGAGTAGCGGAATCTAAGCGCGAGCAAACCATGTGTACTAATATGGTGCTTCAATTGGCGGTCTCCTCTCCGATTTTCTGCAGCATCAACAAGTGTTTCTCGAAATCACCAACCAGCTTACTCAGTGATTCGTAACTCTCCTTCTTCATAACTTCTACCGCAAACAAGGAATCCAAATGGGCCTTGACGATTAACTTTTTGTTTTCGTACCTCCGTTCCAGTGTTGTCCAAGCTACCTCGTAATTTACTTCGGACATCTCCACCGAGTTGATCTCTTGTAGAGCTTCGCCCGTCAGTGAAGATCGTAGGTACGAGAACTTATCCACAGCTGTCAACTGTTGGTTATTGTGTATCAAGCTACGGAAAGTGTCTCGGAAGGTGACCCACTCCATGAGTTGTCCACTAAAGTTCGGCAGTCTTATTTCAGGCAATTTTACTCTCGAACCATTGGCTGGAACGGCTTGCGGTACTGGTCGGGCATCAGGTCTAACTCCAACAAGATCAGGCTTCGGCATTAACCTTGAAAGAGCAGCCTTCAAGTTGTAGTAGCTGTTTTCAATCTTCATAACGATCTGCACGTTTTCTTCCTCTCTCGCCTTCTTCACAGCATCTATGCGAACTTGATGTTGTTCCTTGGATATCTTGATTTCAGTTTCTTCTGCAGGAACAATGTCATCCGTCAACAACTCAATTCTTCGACGGACTGTGTGGAATTCCTTGAACACCTCCTCCAATCTTTGCAAGCGGATTTCCACCTGATCACTCTGCTCCTCTTCATAATGATCTACGAAATACTGCATACCATCGAGAGTCCTCCGAATGTTCCTTTCCTGCTTCTGAAGTTCACGAAGATCGTTAGTCATGTTCACTACTCACTAACAGCACTAATTACTAAGAAATTGAATAGGACACTTCACTGCCACCGATACTATCACTTCCACTGTGCACTTTTTATTCACAATAAACTCCTCATCGACTCAACGTCCCGCGCGATCTCGCGAAGCTTTGGATAAAACTGTGAAGATTGACAACAGCGAGTGGAGAAACCAAACAGACAACAACCAACAGGAGAAAAAGCCAACAATTGCAAGACCAACCGTCCAATTCCGTGGAGAAAATTGCAGATACTGCCAAGGCTCGATCCCAATGGAGAAAAACACTCAGAAATAATCGAAATTTCAATTTATTTACCACTGTTCAATTACATGCAGTTTGACTCCGGCGGTTACATGCAAAACCACCACAAACCATCACAGATCATGCAACTAGTACTTCCCCGTTTCCAGCTGTGTCGGTCGTCTCGGTGCTATTGGTGTGTATTGTTGTTCTCCTCAACTGGTGCAGGAACGTGCAGCAAACTGCCTAATATCGCCTGTCTATTCTTCACTGCTATCGTCACACTTTTTATACCGCAGCTACCGTCGCCATCACACGGCACTTGTGTTACGTTAGGGTCACTGCTCTTCAAAAAAACTGCAGACCACGTATGAAAAACACTTTTTCCATAAATCACTGTTCTTTATCTTCGTGATCACACGCACTGAATCGGTCCTTTTTCAGGTGAAAAGTCCCCGAAATCCGGTTCGAAGGACCAAAAATGTTCGCACAGGATCACAAATTGATCGGATTTCGGACCTTACACTTTAATTAATTGCGGTTATTTGCAACGGGAACTGAATTTATTCTTCTTCAAAAAAAGGTCACAGGAATAATGATAAAAAACATCTGTATACGCGCGCGATTGGTGGATAACTAATTTATTGCCCCTATCAGCTGTTCACTCGTACCTACAATCTACTCGTGGAAAGGAGATTAGCTGATAAGAGAGGATCGTGAGAGCTGTGTGTGAGAGTAGGTGAAGTACGATTTCGTGTGGAACATGTTTGGTGGTAGGGTGCTTCTATTTATGTTCAAACAATGATAATTGGTTTGAACACATACTTTTTAAATAACTCAACGCATACCTGGTTACATTAGCCTCGATCCTGGTGTCTTCATATCTGCATGGCAGCTACTTATCCATTAGTCCATATACATATTGGTCAATCAACGAATTTTTGTCTATCTTACAAAATCATTAGATTCTAGATTAAGTTCAACATCTTATAAGACTGTTGTTGAGTTTATTATAATTTTATATGCCAGTAACGCTATACGACATTGTTTTGATCGAAATACGATGCATTCCCAATTACATCATAACATATGTGATTATTAGGACACTGCTACGATCATTAAATGGACCGCTAAATGATTAAGGAACAGCAGCAAAATGCTTTTTAATCAATGTTCCCAAACCAGTGGATACTAGCAATAGTACAAATTCGTCACACCAATTATTACTCCATTTTCATAGATTATTATGTGATAAGAAATTTCAGTTTCAATAAAAAACAGTTTTGGTTGATTATTGCAATTCACTTCACTATTATGTAAAGGGAAATGTGTTACATTATAAACTTTAAGAATGATATCAAAATAACAAAACTGGCTACTCTGGCACTTCATCAGTAGTGATCGGTAAATGTAAATAAACATTCGTTTTCCACTACACTGCCCTCATCACATCGAACAGCTACTTCTTCTCGTCGATTAATCACAGTAAGTTGAATTAAAACTTTATCCTCTTAAATAAACTAAAAACAAAAACAAATCTTTCAGATGTACGGAGTTGCGCAGTTTATAGAAAACGGCCGATTTCAGGTTCTGGCAGCACCCATGAGCTGGATACAAAAAGAGTTCCGATTGAAGTGATCCTAAGAATGAAAGTACAGTTTTTTTTTAAATCGTTAAATTGCTTTTAGTAAAATTTGGTTTTACCTTGGTATCGTTCATTTTCAACTATATCTTCTAAAATTTCTTTCGAATCATCCATACCGTGAGTATTCATTTCATTATCCAAAGCTTCCGTGGCCTCATTAAATTCTTCAGAGGTGACAGAAGCAGAAGAAGAAATCAATGAACTAGAATAATGCTGTTGGTCCACATCGTTATTTTTATCCGAATTATTTTGAGAAATCTGAGGGATGATCCTTTTTTTATGCTTTTGAAGCAAGCGACTGTACGTTCCACTCTTGCGGATTCGCGTCAACTTATTTTTTAAAACAAATGTATTCATACTCCGCCTGATTTTCCTGATTTTCCGAATATTTGTTTTTAATCGTAGATAGAACAATGATTCCACAATCAAATAAATAAAAACAGACAGATATGCAATATAAAATAACTTCATGTGTATCTATATGTAATGTTCATCAACTTCTCGCAATATGATTTCGGGTGGACAAATACGGTGATTTATGCAACTAGGGAAAAAAGTTTTATTTCAATCATAAAAAAATCGTTATATGTAATCTTTTTACAACTTGATGCAATATTGGCTGCCGTTATATGCAATTCTAATTTAATATGCGTGTATATACGACTTGATTTGAACATTCTTTTACGATTTATGGTTTGCTGGGTCACCTGACAAGCGAACCGGACAGCGACAACGATCTATTTGAAGGGAGGGAAAGTGTAGTAGCCCCTTCATTCTCACTGGAGAGACCGCAGCAGGCTGGAGGATCCGTCCGGGACGTCTTACCCCAACCCGTTGATGGTGAATCCTCCTCTGCGGTTGATTTTGAAGCAGCAGAACGATATTGTGCCTACAAACCTACCATAATACCACCACTTACGACTACACAACACACCCACACGGCGAATGAGAACGACTCAAATTTGAGTTTAGTTCACTCATAACCGCCAAAGGTGCAGGAACTCAGCAATGAGTAAATTTGCCTCATGGTTTCTGTTGGATCATAGCAATCACTGGAACACTATATAAACGGTTCAATTGACAAGTATTGAGGCATGATACGTTAGTCGTCGAACAAATCAAGCAAACCCTTGGCGAGATGGTCTGTGTGAGCGGTCTTAGCCGTCAAAAATAAGGACAACACAAAGGAAAAATCAAGCAAACCCTACAAGGCAAAATTCCGAGGCGTATACATCGTCAATCACATCGCTCAACACTCAAGCAAGCGAAAGTTCGTGCCAACATTCATCAACGGCGTGGAAACCAAGCTACAACTGGACACAGCGAGCGACATCACGGTAATCTCGAAGCAAACCTGGAACTATCTGGGCAAACCAACCATTGAAGCAACGAACGCGTCAGGCAAGCCGCTCCATTTGATGGGTGAGTTCGGGTGCGAAGTGAGAATCAACGGCAAAACTTCACAAGGAAGATGCTTCGTCACAACGGCTGCTAATCTGAACCTGCTAGGCATCGACTGGATCGAACCCCAAAAACCAATCGATCAGCAAGTACGAGAATTCCAGGCCAAGCACGCAGATGTGTTCAACGATTCACTAGGACATTGCAAGAACCTAAAGGTAAAGCTTATCCTCAAACCTAATGCTCAACCTGTGTTCTGTCCCAAGCGGCCAGTTCTTTTCAACACAATTCCATTGGACGATGCTGAAATTACACGGTTGGAATCATTGGGTATCATGCATTTCTCTGAGTGAGCTGCCCCAATCGTGGCTGTACGTAAACCAAACGGCCGGGTTCGTATCTGTGCGGACTATTCAACAGGACTCAATGCGGCGTTAGAAGCTAATCACTACCCGCTTCCCACTCCGGAGGAAATTTTCGCCCAACTCAATGGCAGTTCCGTATTCAGCACCATTGACCTCTCCGATGCATACTTGCAGCTCGTGGTCGATGCCGATATAAAAAAGCTGCTCACCATCAATACGCATCGGAGTTTATTCCGGTTCAATCGCTTCGCTCCAGGGGTGAAGTCTGCACCGGAGGCATTCCAACGACTGGTTGATGGAATGATTGCGGGAATACCTGGCGTCCGCTCTTTCATCGACGATTGGAGTCGCATGCAGCATCAAGGAGTATGGATTCCACGTCAAGGCAGAGAAGTGTAGCTTCTTCCAGTCGCAAATCCGCTACTTGGGACACATCGTGGACCGACAATGCCACCTCCAACCAACGTCACTGAGCTGCGATCTTTTCTGGGCGCGGTCAACTTCTACGGAAGATTCGTGCGCAACCTACACTGCCCATAATCGCATATCAGTCCCATCTTTGCTTGATTTCCTATCCATATGGGACTGTTATGCGATTATGGGCAGTACAAAAATTGCGCTATCCCATCGACAAGCTTCTCAAGAAATAAACGAAATGGAAATGGACATCCGAGTGTCAGCAAACTTTCGAAAAGTTCAAGACAGTTCTTCAATCAAAATTTTTGTTGACGCACTACGACGCCAAGCTGCCGATCATCGTGGCAGCAGACGCCTCAAGCACTGGCATCGGTGCAGTAAGCTTTCACCAGTTTCCCGATAGCATCATAAAGGCTGTGCAACACACTTCGATGACACCTGCACCCGAACAACGTAATTATGAACAACGTGAAAAGGAAGGACTTGCGTTAGTCTACGCATTGACGAAGTTCCATAAGTATTTGCTCGGACGACATTTCACATTGTTGACCGACCACAAGTCATTGACCGACCACGCAGATTTGATGTTATCCCGGCTCATCGACCGAACCAATCCACCAGAGGAAGAATTTGTGATTGCAGCACTCACCATGGAAGAAGATTTGGTAAGCATCCTGGCAGACACAACGGAAAAAGTACCAGTTTCTTTCGCAGCATTTTGAAAGGCAGCACTCTTCAAACCGTTGCAAAGCATATCCATGATGGTTGGCCCAAAAAACTCTCTTCGATGCTGAAGTTCAACCCTACTACAACAGACGAGAATCACTCATTGTAATCGACGGCTGCGTGTTGTTCGGTGATAGAGTGGTCGTTCCCAACATGTTTCGACAAAGAATCCTGCAACAATTCCACCGTGGTC